TATGTCAGCACACTACCTTTCTCAAAGCACCATCGTAACCCTTCTTACCTGTCTACCTACCCTATTAAGGCCTCTCTCAGCCTCAGACTTAAGGCGCCTTCAGCCACACATTATAACATTCCCCCCACACACACACACACACACAAGCTCTCAAGGGTTCCACCCCTGTACCTCCCTAGGAGCAGGGGCTGCATTCGGTTCACTCAGCATTCTGAGCACTCCCGGCTTGGCAGTTGGGTCCAGACATCCTAGAGCCGTGCGGGAATCTGATGTCGTTAACTCCCACTCTAGGGCTCTGAATTCGCGGTCCTGATTTTCCACACCCCATAACTGAGACCCGGTTGAAGGCGATCACATATTTGCATAATCCCACCCCTCATACCATTAACACCTCTTCTGGCTAAGTACACACCCCAAACTCTTATCGACCACCCCTTACCTCCCTACCCCAGGCACTCACCGATCGGAGCGCACACAGGAGCCGAATTTCTTAACAACTGGGACGTACAGTAGCTACACCACAGGCTTCTCCAGCCCGCCCACCGCCAGGGATGCCACGCCCCCCAATGCTTATTGGTTTAGAGGAGCTATCCCATGCACCGCGCCGCGTGCAGCCGATCCGCCCCAGTAAAGCCTCTATTGGCAACACTTTCCGCCATCATCTTTTCATTGGCCAGTTCCACAACTGTTAGTGATAGATACACGTGAGGGAGGGGCCGCCCCAGCGCGTTGATTGGAAGTCTAAACGGAAGCCACTCCCCCACCCACTCTCTAAGTTACTATTGGCTGTGGAAACAACCCCGACCTGCCTAGGTCGGTGACGCACGTGCCGGTCCTGCCCTCTAAACTTTCTGATAGGCTGAGAGGTCCCGGAGATGTTCGGGACACGTGCAGGCGGCCTCACGCGGCAACTTGTTTACCCAGAAGCTGGGGATTTTCCTTGACGACACTTACCCAAGATTGCTGAGTCTGCGCAGGCGCATTGCGAGCGCGACTTGTGCGCAGGCGCAGATGTAAGAAGCGGTGGCGTAGGTGGGGACACTAACTAGAAAACCAGGCGTGACAAGTGTGCTCCTGTGGGCGCCCTGCGTTTACGACGATTCCCCAAAGCTGTGCGGCGAAGCACTGGGGTGAAATGGTCTTTAGAGCTCAGCGCCTGACCAAGATGAAGGCGGTAAACACTACAGTCTCCTCGTGATTGTCACTTGAGGGCCAGTCCAGGCGAAAGTTTCTTGCAAACCTCAAGAAGGCCTGATCTCTCACAAGTAAGACTGAGATCCCGAGAGATTACATAATATTAAATTAACATGATAGTCGATAATGGGGCTAAAACTTAAACCCAGGTCCCAGACACCAAAAGTATGTCCTAGGGCCTCTGGAAACCCAATATGTACAAGGGATTCAGGAGATAAAGCACATGTCCCCAGCAAACAGTAAGTCCTCTATAAAAGTGGAAATTACTGTAGACTATACCCAATTATAAGATCACCTGGCCGGGCATCGGTGGCTCATGCCTGTAATCCTAGCTACTCAGGAGGCTGAGATCTGAGGATTGATATTAAAAGCCAGCCCAGGCAGGAAAGTCTCTTATCTCCAATAAACCACTCTGAAAACCAGAAGTGGTGCTGTGGCTCAAGTGGTAGAGCACTCACCTTGAGCTGAAGCACTGAAGGACAGCGCCTAGGCCCCATGATCAACAAACAAAAAGTCACCTAGGCTCCTTAGATCCTCTGAATTAGACTCTCCAAAAAAAGAGGCCAATAGATCTATTTTAAAAAGTATCCCTGCCAAGGGGGGGAGGGGGGAGGCTGGGAAGGGATGTGAAGGGTAAACCAAAGGAGGAGGCTGCAATGCTTGGTAAGAAATGTA